AGGAGAACCTTGATTTCTTTGCAAATAAGGCACAACTCAGTGAATATGGGGGCTAGATAAGGCTATCTTTAGCTAGTTTACGCGAATTTTAGACACAAATAACTCTCTTTAGGAGAGTTTTCAGTCATCCTATGAAATATCAATCTGTTAGTCAGCGGCATTACATCTAAAGATCAGCTATTTTGTGGTCCAGTCTTATACAAACTCATTATATAGGATACTTCCACTTGCATGTCTCCACACGAACGACCTGGATCAGGTAGTCTATAACATTTACAAAGTGGGCCATATCCATAGTGTTGCCAAGATAAAGTACCCAGCCTTATCCGTATACTATAAACCCCTTAGGTTAATCCCGGGACATTATCCACTTGTATATCGAGAGTATATCAAATATATACCCAGTATATATATTGTCCCGGTTACATGATAATAACCTTCGATGTTTAGTTTATTGGATTTGGATAATGCATTGCTATGAATTCAACAACAAATGATTGAATAAAACTATATTGAATATAAATTTGTTTTTACATTAATTACAAACTACGGTTTACAGCAACACACCCAACAGAAACAACAACAACATGCTCCAATATGTAAAGACCTTCACGTAAACTACCCTTGCCAATCATCATCATAGCGGACATGTCCTGAATTTCAACACAATTAGCAGGGTATTGAACCAAAAATTTTCCATCCATGGCCATTGCACTAATGTATAAGAGGTTATATTTGAACTCTTGCACATAAAGTACGTCACGTAGAATAATAGAACCAAGAATAAACACAGTACCAACGTATTTAACATTTATATGTGAATTTTTGGGTAGTATGACCACGGTAGATATAGGTTCCAGAGAAGTGAAGGCACTCTTATCATAACAAATGTTTGAGCTCGAAATCGATTGAGCTCAGATACGATTTAGATCAGAATGCTCAGGACGAACTATGGCCAACGGTCCCACACCTTCCCTGAACCCTTCTTGAGACCTGCAAAACAAAGTTAGCACTCCTACGAGCTAGTTAGTTCTAGTCCGAGCTAACCTGCCGAGTCTACTTGGGATTGCGTACCTTGCATTTAAGGCAAGGGTTTCTATTTATAGAAACTGGGCCCGACAGGAATTCTGACACACCCTAAAATCGCGGCGTGTTTTCGGGCACGGAAGGGACACTGTTACGGACTCTGTATCAGCTCAGCTCGGCACTATAGGTCCTACCCTGACTGCCGACCTGAGTAGTTTGGAGCCGCTTTCTCCATTTCGCCYGCGTGTTTAACCAACTCACCTTTTCGATCGTGACACGTGGCAGGCCAGGATTCGTCTCCAATATTGGCCCCCACTTCGGCGGGGCGGAGGTCGGCTCGGCGAAGTCCTCCGAGCTAACTGGGGACGGGTCGAATCCACGCGTGCATGTGTGACGTCATGGATGTCGTCAGCCCTAACTTCTGCTTCGGGAACCCAAACGTCGTCGTGGGGACAGCCTGGCGTGGGCGGATCTTGTCCGTTGATCCCTCCTTGATCAAACGGCTCTCGTGCCTCCGGGCTGTCCTATAAAAGGCGAAAGTCTTTCACTTTTCACTTTTGAGTTTTCGTGTACCTCGGCCGTTTCCAAGTCAGGTACTCTCTCCCTCTTTCTTTAGATAGTTCTTTTAAGTCCTCCTAGTCAGGTCTGGCGATG